TGGTTAACTGTAAATATTTCATATTTACGAGAGATATTCTATGTTTATTATGTAGAATGTGTATGTAACAAAAACATCGACTAAAATTGAAATTCAGATAAACTTAATATGGTGGTATAAACGTAAAAGCAATGTTCGATTAAATTGCGATTGTTACATCGATCGTAGTTTTGATCGTGGTCTAAATTGCGCGAACACGATGACGAGACGAGTAAGGACGGTCAGCACATGTCGAATGCATTTCGAATAATGACGTAATAATCGACCGAAGAGCAATTCAAAATGACAGGTGCCGCGTGTTCCAAATGGAGTCGAATAATCGACGTAACGATAGCATACCATATCTGCAAAGTTGCATCGTGCCAATTATCCGTTACAATATTTGTATTGTATATGACTGGCCGCGTATACGTTCCCGATGATAGAATCATTTTACAAATTGCAACTATTGTTACACCGAAAAAAAAGATTCAGCACAATTCGAGCGTTTCCATCCGCTCTCCTTTTATCCACATGTTTGCATCGCGATTATAATCTCATGGCTGCGTCTCTTTATGAAGATTGCAGTCAGATACTCCCTCCTGTTTAAACGCTTTTCTCCTGTATAATACAACTGTCGACCATTTGTGATTTTCCTCGTAATTTATAGCAGCATTGTAAATGAATTTCATTTCATACGGGGCGTAAAGAAACGGCACGCAATCTGACTGTATGATCCAACGTTATTGTAATGTGCACGATTGACATATATGAGGATTGATAATATTTTATTGAGAATTTTTCTATTTCATTTACAAATGAAAATCTCCCGTTTACTTTTATTAATTTAAGCTGTTCTTTAAATTTATATACAGGATGTCCTAAAATAAAACCGCCAAATATTTTGTGGGCAAGTAGGGCGGATTAAATTGAATTGAAGAAGACTTTTCGACTCAGTTTAGTCCGCTCTACTTGTTCATGAAATATTTGGCAATTATTTTGGGACATCCTGTATATGTTATATATAATTAAAAGTAATAAATTAAAGTATTAATATTATATGAAATAAAGTTCATTAGCAAATGCTTGAAAATTAAAATTGCAAAATGACATACATATAACATTTATAATTTAATATTTATATTTATATTTTATATTTTGTACACTTTTTTTAATGCAAAATTAAATTTCATATTTATACCTAGCGTGTAGTTACTAACTATTTTTATTCCTATTTATAATTTCTCCAATATATTTTCTCATTTACTAATTCTTTTTCAAATTATTATTCTTTGTTTATTTCTAACATTTTTCATGTGCAGTATCCCAATGTCAAATAAGTAATTGATATGAAAAATCTTCATAAAGTACAATATGACGTTTTTATCACACGACAATCTATTCATTCACGACTGAAGTTAATAGCTCGCGATTCGTTCTGCTACGACCAGCGGAAACTCGTTAGTCGGTGTCAAGTAGAGGCAGTTAAAAAATGCAAACGTTTAATTATAACGCGTAGCGTATTTCGCAGATCTCCCTTTTCCACGACCTTTTGACGTTGATACGCCGAGCAATGGCGGCGGAAGATAAAACGACAGCCAGAAATCTTCCTCGGGTCCAGCAAGGATACAGAGATATGTAAATGAAATGAAATCTGTTTAGCAAAGATTTCTGACATCGCGACACTGCTTTCGCACTGCCGTGTTTCAACGAGAAATCGCTGTTTCTTGAGATAGACAATATAGTCTTCGATCCTTCTTCCTTTCATTCTTTCTTATCATGTCTTAAAATATAATAATAATGTAAAATGTAAATAATGATAATTATATGCCGGCGTTTTCGACAAACAGCACAGAATTCACAAATTCTTGAAGTTCATGAAATAACTTGGCAAGATACACAGAAAAATGTAAAATACTATATAATTAAAAATATTCTAAAATTTAAGAAATCTATTATCAAAGTTTAAGAAATCCGAATTATAATATTATTTGTAATTATATAGTGCTTCTTACAAATTTTTTTGAAAGATCTAAAACTGGATGACCTATACAAAATTAATGAGCGAAATTAAATAAGATTAACCAATTTTTATTTTTTTAAAACTAAGAATTGAAAAAAGATTCGAAAAGAAATCAGAAATAAAAAGGAGGTTACAAGAAGTTTCAATATTATTACATTTTAATTCTCAGAAATATATATCTGTCAGAATATTTACGAAAGATCACGAGGCGCAAATTATCGATGTTATCGACTTTGGCCGTTAGAATTACTTTTTGTCAACCTCGTCGGCTGAGTTTCAACATACGTGCGCACTTGAACTTATTAAATTTGTTTCCTTCGCACGTTCAAAAATATGGAACTTTCACAGCTGTAGGTCGCGCTCTCTCATACGGAAAAACGAGTTGGTTCCAACTATAGAAAGAGTCCAGAAAAATTTCGTTTTGCTCTCTAGATGCGCGGGCGTAGATATTCGAGTCCTCGATTCTCTCCGGGGAGAGGACGAGAACTTCCTGCCCATCCGAACTTTATGGAATCTCTTTGAACTGCAGCCATTCGACCAGAGAGCAACTCTGTTCGAAGGATTTCGAAAACCCGGCGAAGATAATAATAAGTTAATCCTCCCCTCCCCCACCTTCTTCGCCTTACTCCGGTAGCTGAAATTACTCAAACGTGACGATATGGAGCAAATCTGCGACTTGCCTTTTCCTCCATCCACCTTCCTTCTCGACAAATCGGCCGTCTAATTCCATTATTCGACGCCGATAAACTCGACCTAACCGTGAAACGAGTTAACGCGCCATTTGGCGACCTACATGTGAATAAAGCTGCAGGATGCTGTATTCGCAATCCGCTTTAGAGAAATCGATGAAGTTCTAAGAACTTTCTCTCCTCTCTCTCTCTCTCTCTCTCTCTCTCGCGCGCGCGCTCTCTCGAGTATTAAACCACCGTTAAACTAATTCGTTATAAATAATGTACAATCCGAAAAGAAATCTCTAAAAAAATAAAAGTATCTTAATATTGGCGTGATTTGAAGATAACATTAATCCAAATATAATCATCCGTTTTTCGATTATAAAATATTAGAAAGTGACTTGATATCACAAACAATTATTATTCGTCAGTTAAAATAGTTTAACAAAAATAATTAATAAACTACAAAAATAATTAATAAATTATAAAATATTTATTTGATGAGAATAATTAATAATTACAAAATATTGACAGCTAAATAATCAGTGTAATGTATATATATAATACCTATACATGAAAAGGTCTTGTTGATGTAAAAAATTTAGCAAAAAATTTAGCTACATAAATATAAAAAAAGAATTTTGTTTGGATCATTCAAATAATTATTAATTAGGATACTCAAATTAGAATATCAAAACTTTTTACAACTTTGTTCATCATACTCGAGATTCTCACGTAATTACACCCAGAGAAAAGTTATGTTTAAATTGAAAAAAATGGTTTCTTTCATTGATTTTTTTAAGTTGAAAATATCTTTTAGAAAAATAAAAATTTACTTGATTTCAAGAAATAATGTTCAAATCGAAGAAATTTTTCTTTAATCATAGAGCAATGCACAAATTTCTTTGATTCAGACAATTTTTTTTAATCGAAGAAATTTTTCTTTGAATTGTATTTTTATAATCTGACAAAATTGTATTCAGACCTATATCAAACTAAATTTTTAGGTACCTCAATAAAATCGTTCTTTCCGTATTGTTTCTTCGAGAGAACGTTTCTTTTTTAATATTCTAACACCGATTTTACGATATTTCCTTTTAAATTTTAATTTGATATCGGATAAATTAATTCATATATATTTTACAAGATATTTATTTATTATATTTGTTCTCCGTAAAAACTTCTTTCCTTAATTGAGCAAATCCTTTGAAATGCTGACGAAACGATTGAAAGGATTCATTTTATCAAAGTAACCCTCATATCTTCCAGAATGACGTACTTTCGATCTAAACGAGATATATAAGGACATAACACACAATTATTGGTTAACTAAGAGTCTTTCAAAGTCCTTCTACAGATTATTTCTCCTCTCTCACGTTCCACGAAAATTATATTACGATCATGTGTTTAATTTCGTTAGCGTGTTACCTACGAAGCTATTCTGCCTCTCTCGATGTAATTTCCGATCGTGTAATCATGAAGTTTTCGACGTTTACGCAATCATCTCAATAATTGAAATACAACTTAGAAATTGAATAGCAATTTGAATAGTGCAATTTGATTAGCGCTCGATGAAATCTTAAAATACGATAATAGCTGCGGTATCTGCGAATTGATTGAACGGCAATGCAAGTCAGAAAATGCGATAGTTGTTAAAATCGCCAATAACATACTCGACTGTTTGATCGGTAATAGCGAGGTCGGGGCACCGAAACACTCGTCGTGGCTAATAACAAAACGAATTTCCGATTCGCAGTTCGCCGACCAAGCTTATTGAACCATTACCGCGTCAACGGATCCGTTCTGGCAAATCGACTATTTAATTCCATTATCGACGCGTCAGTAAATTCGATGTAATGCGAACCACCCGCGACGGTTAATTCCGCGACTGCCATGCGTCGAGCGATTGACGAAATGAAAATCGGTTAAGGAAAATCAATTGATAAACGCACGTGTGCAGATTCACGAACGTGATAATTAAAGTTCGGATTTTGTTACGACCAACGATTGAATCTGGGCCAGTGCAATGATTCGAGGGTGTACATGTTTGTAATTAAATAACTGTACGCACTTATACTCCATTTATTTTGGCTTCTTTTCTTTTGATCCCTTAAATATATATAATGATTAAATAATCTTTATGATGTTATTAATACCATTATATTTTATGACATTATTAGTAACAATGAAAAAATTCAACAACTGATATCTTGCGCATTATCAATCAAATTTATAATAATTACAATTTGTGATTATTTATTATAAATTTAGAGAAACATTGCGATGATTTATTTCTATATTTAAATAAATCATTCTTTCATTTATAGGCGGAGATCGAAAGTCGTGATATCTTCCGCGAAGCCTGAGGACAGTGGCAGATACGAATGCGTGGCTGAGAGTACTTCCGGTCATCGGGCCTCACTCGCGGCCGAACTTCTAGTCGCTCATGATATCAGAATTCCGGAAACAAGTGAGTAAATATTACTTTCTTCATACAGTTTAAGCGTTTTGTTTTTCGAAAAAAGAACTCGTCGACATTGTACAAATAATGATACACACTTTATCAATTTTATATCATGACAAAAACAAAAATAATTATAAACATAATTGATTAAAAATTAATGTTTTACTCTAATGTAAAAAAAATACTATATTCAATAATTATATATAAAATGAATACAGAAATAATAGCTATAAAATATAATTAAGTAAATATTAATGTAGACTGTTTGATAAGAAGTCACTTTTTTCCTCTCTGAAGTGTTACAGTACATAATTTTTTTGGACTGAACATGATGCCGTTAGCATAATTTACGTAGCACATATATCAAAATTTTTAATAAATTAGTATGAAATGACCACAAATTACTACAATTTATAATACTTAAATTTTATTATACCTTAATTTATTAAAAATCCTGATGTGCTATAAATTTTGATAGAATGATTGATTTATGACGGTATCGTCATAAAACGTCATAAAAGAACGTAAATACCTTTGAATATATATTATCGCACTTTGAAAAGAAAAAAAGTGCTTTTTTATCGAACAGTATTATATGATTTAAAATTCAAGCAGTTATAACTTGATGAAAATAAGAATCGTACGATCATGAAATAAAATTTATTTGAAAGCTTTCGAATTGAACTTTTAAATGCCGTAAACTTTATTTACCTTATACAAAATATTGCATTCGATAATTAATTCACAAATCGGCCAAAATGTATCATTATTAAATAGTTATTATAGACATAATTAAGATAAAATGAGAAATATAATTACAAATCGAAACAGTCAGGCAGGCTTCATCAACATTATCGATCAAAACAGTGCGATTCCGGTATAGTAAAATCGATTGGCGGAGATTGTTAACCACTGAATGCATTTCGTAAGCCGATTGGAACGCGTACGTTTGTCGATACCTTACGCAGAGCTTTTGGATAGAAGCATTTCGGATTTTACCTGACGTTATCATAGCCTCGCGTGTGCAAAAGCACGAGAGACTGCGCTTCACTGATCTGTGTATCATTCGCTACACTAACGGTAGAAAACCCCTATGATCTTTCAACACAACCTTTGAGAAAATACGTCGAATTTATTCTGCTGGAATGATAAACGAGCTAGGCATCGGTAAAGGATCGGTTAATGAGCTTAACGAAACACGAAAGATTTTTGGACCGTAGTCTTTTTACGAAAAAAAATTGTTTGACGTTCATCAAATGAAAAAATGGAGTTTCACAACGAAATCCGTTCCAAAGAATAATGTCGTGTCTTGTATTTCAGCACAGCGTTATCTGAAAATAATATAGAACACGACAGTACGACGCAATGATTTTCTACCGAATTGCTTTTGAACACTCAGTGATTTCACATTCGGAGAACGTGCGAAGAAATCTGGCAACTTATTCAGCTCTTCCGGATTATCGAATGCTTTCATATTTTATCTTTTCCTTCATTTATCAATAAACGCAGCGATACAAAAAACTTAATTATTAATTGCAAGTTATTTATTTTCTAATTTATGATGCATTAACTCCGGCATAATAGCACGAATTAGCGTAATATATATATTATATATATGTTACGTGTGTTACGTATAAGATTAAGCCTGACAATGACACTTGTCCTGAACCTCACAATATATGGTTGACTATTTTAACTCGACAATTATATCCAAAGCGTTTCCAACGTTTCCATTATCGTCGCATAATGAATTCAATTCCATCGTGCGATCACGTCGCAATGAGGAACAAGTGACGTTCGTTTACGAACAATCTGAGCGATCACTTCGTTGACGTTGCATCTTTTACGCAACCGTTTTCTCGCATAACGATGCATGCTACTGGATACATTCGCGACGTGCATACCACAAGCGTCTGCGACGATCTGTAGTCGCTGCAAGTCGCAGCGCGGATATCGATCCGTGTAACGGCTGCCCTTAGGGTAGTGGTTTATGGCTTTTCATAATACTCGCAATATTTGGGCCACGCCTTTTGCTGCGATATTTATGTTATTTCCGGATATATTCCGCGAAGCGTACCGAGTTTATCGATACTCACCCCTATTTTCCGCATCTTGCCGCCGACTAAAATAATAAGTGTTACCTATGGGAAATACTACGAGAGGTAGTTAGAATTTATTACATGTAACTTCGATATTTATACGATCCATTATCGCCTGTTATACCAAATAAATATCAAAAAACAACACTGAGACTTGCAATTTATGATTTATGTGTCATGGACTACATTGCAATAAATTTTAATAAAATTTAAACTTGTTAGCTTAGTTCGAAAGATCAAATATTAAAAGATATTACGGTAAACAGATAAAAGACAAAAAATGTAACCGCTTAATCATACTTTAAAAAAATTAATATTAGATTGATAAAAAAAAATTGTAATTAAAACAGGAACAAAAATCAGTTCCGATGATACTGTTTGCATGATATAAGAGGAAACATGATAAAAAGAAAAGATAAGTGGCACTAAAACTGAATCACTGTGTTCCGTTCTACGTGCAGTTTCATTCAATTCCTAGTTATACGATGCGTCAGCAGTAAAACGGCAACAAGGAAGCGAAGACTGTTCGCGCACAGGTCGGCATCGTAGGTGATAAACCAAGGATTAAGCACCTGATGCGATAATGCTTGTACGGCTCAGTGGTTCTAGTAGGGTCGGTAAAGCTTGTGGTTCACCGCCGAGCGGTTCCGCAAGCTCGTATGACGGACAAAGGGCGACAATTACAGTCCTGCCAGCCACGTCAGGGTTTCATATGGCCTTGCTGATGGCAGTCCGGCGGAATGTTTCCGTGCACGATGACTCTATACAGCTCTACGAGCGCTCCAAGTCGACAGATTGTCGTAATGAAATTTTTTGGCAGTTTTGTAAAATTGCTCCGATCCAGTCTGAGTGAAGCATTCAATAAATTTGGAGAATTTTAAGCCTACTGGTCTACTCGAATTATACAATATAAACATATCGTTTAGGTCAATACGATTAAAAAAGTTTACTAAGATGAAAAAAAATTTCACAGAAAAAAATTTTTTATATTAACAAGTAAAGTCATTAAATATTAGAGAAAAAGGTTAAATATGAGTAAGAAAATTTATTGCATGTTGAATCAAATAAATCAGTAGGGTCAAAAACTTTGAACGAAAATTAAAAATTGCTTTAATCTAGCAAAGAAATTTATAGAAAAAGAAACTGAGAAACCTTAAATTATTAATAATTTTATTGTAAATATAAATAATATGTACACACACACACACACACACACACACACACACATTCCAATATTTATTAATCTTTATTACTTATTAATTTTCATATTAATTTTCAAAGCCAAAAGAATTTTTCCTAATTTATAATTCCGATTTTGTTAAATTTATAATTAGTGAAATTTTTACTTCTTTATAGATCCCATAAATTCTATGCAGCTTGCGTGAGAAAAGTTATTAAATCGCGTGAACGAGTAGAAAATCATACGTTAGCAAATAATGTAGAAAGAAATAAATCACGATGCTTTTTGTGTGAAAAAGTATTAAGCTAGTAGACTAAAAGTATAATGTAACAACAAGATATACAGCTATAGAGTCCATAGAGATCTCTTTTTGCTATATAAGTACAATATAACTAGAGTTAAATAAATCTTGCGTTTTTAAAATAGCGATTGATATGAGCGATATGTGAGAGATGTTATGATGTGAGATATGTTATTACAAATAACTCTTTTGTGATCGAATAGAAAATCATATGTTAGTGAATAATGTAGAAAGAAATAAACCACGATGCTCTTTTTACGTGAATTAAGCTGATAGACTGAAAGTATAATGTAATAATAAAATATAGTCCACAAAGATCTGTTTTTGCTATACAAGTATAGATTAATAATCTTGCGTTTTTAAAACAATAGCATTTGATAAAAGCAGCATATGATATAAAGTTTCTATATAAAACGTTCTTAGGAGGTAAATAATTTTATATACAATGAATGTGTCTATTTTTTCCTGAAAAATACGTTTTAACTACCATCTTTCTCTCATCGCAACTAATATGAACAGATTTTTTATTACAGATTTTTTAAATGTATAAAAAAAGTGCACTCTTAATTGACTAGAAAAAAAATCTGTTGCAATTAAAATAATACGTTTTAAAATATTTTTCAAACGAAAAACGTTATTTAAAAAAACCATTATTTCTATTGCATTATGTAGTGTACGGTGAGCGTTTCTGTTTGAAATTCGCGAACAAGTTATTTTATTATTTCGGGATTGTGAAAGAATATTTTTTAATAGCGAATCTAATTTATTGTTAAAATACTATTATACTATGGAACACTTGTATGTTATTCCGTAAAATAAAATGAGAATTGCACAAATATTACACAAGTTTTTAAGAGAATGACAAAATAATTTTTTCTTTTTTCAAGAATAATATAAAAGATCCTAATGTAAAATCCAATTATTTAAATTTCAGTAATTTTATTTAAAATCAATCTGATTGTTTCACAAATTTAGGAATATTATTTTTCTAATAAAATAAGAAAAAAATCCAAACCAGATATTCATGTAAAATTTAAAATTATATTAATTAATTATATTAAATTATATTAATTAAAATTAGAATTGATAAACATTTTGGCTCCCACATTGGTCCATCTTCAGTGTAATCACAAAACTCAAATTAAAATATATAAAAGATATAATTTATTTTTACTAAATTATATTCCACTATCTTATTTATTAAAAAAACATTCAAAATATATTCAAACGTGCAAATATATAGAATGTGCGCAAATAATTCCTGAAATGATATATCCATATTGATCTAAGGGTGCCAAAAGCCGTGACCTTCCTAGTCACGTAAGTCAACTCTTCCGAGGTAAACGACGCGGAACGCGCATTATTGTATCAAGTTACACCGCCGCGCGGCAGTAAAGCGTGCCATTGTAGCTGCAACGGCAATTGT